ACTCAAAGGTGTTTGTGTGTGTAAGAATGGAGGTGGCTGTACACTCAATGAAAGAGAGGAGAAGAGACTATTCAGCGCGATTGGCAGCACTGATGAAAACCAATCAATTAGCCTGTAAGAGGCAAATGCTAAGTAAACACAGGCTTTGACAGCTCTGTATAGCAACCAGCCATATAACTCATCCCTAAGGACCAATGCACTCTGTTGAAAACCTCAAAAACGAATCCAACAACACAATTCATGAGAAATAAGACAAAATAAAAAGGGAAAACGATGAAACAAAAATAGACAATTATGTTTCTGCAGCAGGAATGCCATGCCTTATCCTTTATTTGCTCAGAGACTTTTACTAAACTGATCTTTGAAAACACAGTTCTTTGTTCAGAGATCCATCTTTGAAGAAAACAAGTGCTCACAACACTCTACAAACGGTTATGGTTTTGCTAGATCTCACTAGAAACAGGGAGACAACTCTGGCACCGTCCTTAACACACAATCACAAACACAGTAAAGCAGGCTTGACTGATACACAGCTCCCCCCACATACTCTTCATTTGACAGCCCAGGGATAAAAGTTCAAATGTTTCCATAACGAGCCGGCAGTATCAGCTCGTAGAAAAGTCTACAGAGAGGGCAGCGATCATAAACGGCAGATCCGATTTCAGTGACAAGAAGCATTCAAAGAAACGCATTCACTTGAGAAAATGACGCCTCTGGGGACACAGTCCTGATAGGAGCACCCATCACACCCATGGTGGAACAAACCGTTGTGGTTGAAACCCACTGTAGTTGGGATGTTGATCCCGCTGAGTCCTGCAGGACTACTGGACATCCGGCTCCTGGCAGAACAAAGCGGCCTGCAAGCTGCTAATTTGTAGTGCCGACGTGTAGCAGAGGCTGAGAGCACAGGTCGTCTCCCTTGGTCACCGGGTCTCGAATCCGAGCCGTTACAAAAGCACATGAGCGAGCCAGAGTTTTGTCAATGTGGAGCCACACAGGCCACATCCCTCCAGAACCTCCAAAGTGCACGCTAATAATGTGGTCATCAACACGATCCATGTCCTTGTGGCTTTCTCCAGAAAACCGACAGTAAAAAAATAATGTCTGTACATTTGAAGGACTCCATATTTACCAAGTCACAAGATGACAGTTGATATTTTGACCACAAAATGCTTTACAATTTGAGCAAATGTACTGTATCTGTTTTTTGGCCTAACCCAGCACATTTAGCTTTCGTTTTGTAAGTGAAGAGTCAAACAACTTCACATTGCTGCTTTCTTTGGCATCTTATAGGCTCTCATTGCTGTGCTGTTCCTGCAATGTTCTTCCCAGAGACCAAACTAACTGCAAACAAAGCTGTATAACTTATTGAACTTAGGGGTTGAACCATTAACTAGAGGCACTTCGTTTTTTATTGTTACCGATTAAGCAAGGCAAGGCAATTTTATTTATATAGCACTTTTCAGCACGTGGCGATTCAAAGTGCTTTACAGATTAAAAGCAAACGACATTTAAGAACAAATACAGCACAAATACATTATATTTATTTTTAGATTAGTATTAGTACTTTTTGTACTTTTGAGACAGGATCACAACGGGCAGCCTTAGGAGGATAGTGTCCACTTTAGGGAACTCAAAATTGCATCTGTGCTCTTTGCAGATGATATGATTCGGTTGGGTTTAACAGACCATGACCTTTAGTAAGCACTTGGGCGGTTTGCAGTCAAGTGTAAAAGGGTCTGGATGGGAGTTCATCATGTGTGTATTGCTCCCTGCAGGTTCGAGGTACATTGAAAACCAAACTACAGGAGTTCAAATATGTATGGTCGGTTGAGATCCACAAGCCGATTGTTGCAGCGTGGGCACTGGTGCTAGCATTTAACCAAAGGTGGAAATTAGTTTCTCTCTGTAAAATGGTTGGGCTTAACATTAGAGATACTGTAAGGAACCAAAACCTCTGAAGAGAGCTCCATTGTGACCCGGTCCTGGTTAATTGGCAGAAAATCGATGGCCGGATGAATATTATTCCGTCTCAATTGTCTTAAAAGCCTCTGGATAGACGTAACACTACTTAGAATAATATTCTGATTTAACCCACCGTTGAGTAGATTTATGTGGCAGTTTAGGCTAGTTTTATTTTGTTTTCAAGAAGTATGACGGGTGCACCTGGAGGTCTCTGAATACCTGCAGGTGCTCTGGACTGAAAGGTCTGATAAGAGGACAAGTAAGAGATAACAGTGTGGATGGATCATACCATTCTGAGCCAATGTAATCGTGAGGATTAAGGAATAAAAAGTATATGACGATCCTTCAGTTTTATCCAATTTCTCCCACGGTGTGTTTGACTAGACTGTTGAGTGAGTGTTTGCTGATAAGGAATGACACTGATGATAAAGAAGCAGAGAGGACTTGAGGGAGAGAGAGCTGCTTCCAGGTGCTTCCAGGAATAGCATAGCCACTAATGGTGCTGGTCGGCAAAGTGACTCGTAATGCCTGTTGATGGAAAACACAGCCGACCAATTACAGCGGCCATATCTAATCACCAGGGTCGGGGGTCAAATCCAAACCACCATTTGTCTTCATTTGATGTCCCTGTCATGAGCTGTTGTCTCATCACTGGATGGAGTTCAATATATCTCAGCGTACAGTCAGGGGGCAAAGGGAAGGAAGTGTGTGTGTAAAGCATGTTTGACACACACACACACACACACACAGTTCACGCAATGCATTCAAATGTCGGATTTAGAATGGTGATGTAATAAAATGCGGTTGACATTCAAGCTCCGTCAAAGCACAGCAGCCTACAGCTTCCACACACACTTACACAAAAACACACACACTGATCCAAGTGCTGGCCTTGGTGAAGTGATGTAATAAAAAGTGGCTGTCAGGACAGGTCCGCTCAGACAGCAGCTTGACAGGAAGAAGATTATATTCCTGAAAAGCCCAAACACACTGCCGTCTCCACCAGAGAACAGAGGAGCTGTTGTTATTCAGAGTTCAATAGATCTGTGTCCGTCTGTCCAGTGTAATAAATCACACACTATATGTAAAAGACAACAAAGCTGGATAATAACATAATCAATAATCATTTACACGCCAGGGGTCAGTTGGACCAAAAATGGTGTCATCGTGAGACAGCGGCGCACGCACATGGTAAGAAAAAAAACGATAACACAGAGAGCTTATGGGGAGATCAACCCATAGTTGTTTATGGAAAATGAAGTGATGACGTCACCTATATAGTAATTGCTTCTGTTATTGTTACAATCTGTCATTCAGCGTGTGTTTTCCTGTGATTTTCTTTCTATACTTCCTGCTAATGGGAGTTATTAAAGGAAGGCGTCCATGCAACTTGGGTACATCTCATATGAGCACATTTTCTCATGCCCTTTTCTAATGCGGCCCCCTAAATTGTGACGATTTGGGTAAGTAGCCGAGAAGACCCAGAGTCAAGTATATGTTTTTTAGCTCTATCATGTTCACAGAACAAAGGAGGATGTAAACATTTTCAAACCAGGGCCAAAGATATCGTAGAAAGAAACAAAGACGGTTGTATTATTATTATCGTCCAAACAACAGACTGTGGCTTATGTTCCAATGCTGGGTTTTTAGTTATTGACAGAGATCAATGGAGTTTTGAATGATGTTGTCTGTCTTTACAAAAAGTGTTGTTTTACTTTGGCCCTAACTATCCCAAGATGATAAACCGTGTTTAGGCTCCAAGTACAATCTGGTTTTGAGCCCTGGATTTTAACAAAGAGTTGGATAGTTTAGCACAGAAACAAATCATAAGAATCCCTTGTCATAAGGTTAGACATCATGCTTTAATGGCTGCTTCATTGGAATGTGATGGCATTACACCCACTTACAAAGTATACCCCACTTCATCCAAGTTTTAAACTGCAAAATATGAAGGCAATCTGTCCTGGGATAACCACTGAAGCGCACGGTACATGGGGAAACAAATTACAGGATTACACTGTGTGCGCGTGTAGTGTGTGTGTGTGTGTGTGTGTGTGTGTGTGTGTGTGTGTGTGTGTGTGTGTGTGTGTGTGTGTGTGTGTGTGTGTGTGTGTGTGTGTGTGTGTGTGTGTGTGTGTGTGTGTGTGTGTGTGTGTGTGTGTGTGTGTGTGTGTAAATAATTGTACGAGCGAGCTAGGATTCTGCATAACACAGAGAGGGAGAGCATATCTGTGCATTTGCTGGAGCTCCAGCTGTGGTGTGCTCTGAGGCAGAAGTGATTGGAGGTGTGAACGCACAGCCAGGTGCTGCCCCGTCTCACCCTGACACCCTCGCTTAGTCCACTTCCTCCCCATTAATTAGGAGATTAGGGGGGCGACTGGGGGCGGCATGTAGGGGCTGTGAAACTGCTGTCTATAACCAGCCGTTACATCAGAGTCCCCAGATCCAGTCTAGATGTGATTCAGATGTTAGTTCACATCCAACATCAAAGTTTCACTTCAATGAACGTGATCCCAATCAAGTATTATTTGGCCTTGATTCCGATAAGATTTATATTGGGTACTTATACCCATTTCCTCCAGCCGTTTGTGGGCTTTATTGCCACCCTCGCTCAAACAACGCCATATTGCGGGGCCGCGGACTGGCTCACTCCCTGAGGTGAGGGATGCAGCCCCCTGCTTTAAACCCAACCAATGCATTTTGAAACATAAATCCCTCCTCGTTTGGCCTACTACGCTTGTAGGTGTGACTTTTCTTAAGTATTGTCATCAGCATTCATTGAAAAGCCAAAGCATTTTTTGTTAGATCCACTGTTAAAAACGACGTGTGCATAAGCCTGTGACCTAAGATTTTCATTGACATATCCACACTGTAGCTACTGTATGTTCAAATGATAATAAAAGCCTTGAATCCTTCCTTGAATGAAGATTTGCCTTACGACTAAGAACGCTGTACACAAGCAAGCAAGACGTATATGGAAATAAATACACGGAAATAAATGTCAATACAATTTAAAGTGGAAAAAGGTCACTCACCTTCACACTGCTTGCCATCTCCCTTGTAGCCTGGCTTGCAGATGCAGTTGTAGGACTTGGGCGTGTTCTGGCAGAGGGCGTCGATGTGGCAGTCGTCCGACCCTTCTGCACACTCGTCTGCATCTGTAAAAACATGTAGACATGGAGGTCAATATCCTATATGTCCCAGTGGATTCAACAAGCCGCACTACAGATGGCAAATCAAGATCGGTGTGCGTACTGACCTAATGCATCATTAAAGAGCCATCTCAATTCAAATGTATCACAGTTCACAGACTGCATGTCATTCAACTGATGTCTCATTACATGAGGTGTGCGAATAGCAGTTCAATGTCCAGGGAGGCAATCGATTAGCACTAAGATGATAACAGTTCTGCACTCGATTTACTTTTCTAAAATTATTTAGCTTGTTTTAAGCCTATATTAGGATGCAATGACGATGATTTGCCTTCTACTGACGTAAGGCATAATGATTTTACAACAGCGGTTCTTATCCTATGGTTATGGACCCCCCAGAGGATGCTAAATTACTAAGATATGAACACAGAAAAACACAAAATTAAAATGTTGTATATGAAACAGACCTCCAATCTTTTTTTCTCTTGTGAATTACTGGGTAGCTTTACCTCCTCAGGACTTCTAAATAAATACCTCTTGACATTGTTATAAGCCATTGACATGAAAGAGGTGACAGTTAGCCACAAATTAACTTTTCTGAGTTATAAACTATCTAGTAATTGGATCACACCAGCCATCACCAAAAGTGGAATCACCCCATCCGCAACTTCCTACACCGCTACCTCCAACACACTCACACGGACCACACCCGTATTCAGACTTAACCTTCCTTTTGATTTCAGGTTACAATATGTGTCCATAGTTAAACAGACAGAAATAAAAACCCATGGCAAAGTACTCAAAATGACTTCTGTGAAAGTTCCCGCAACAGAAGGGATCTCCAACATTTTTCCATTAATATACAAACACTAAACCGAGCCTAATGAAAGCTGCGTTTGAGTTGCATTGTGGGAAATGGGGTACTCAGCTTTTTTGGAACTTGCTTCATACTGGGGGATGTATTCAAATGCTCTAATTTTGGCAATTATGTAAGTTAATCTGTCTCTTGCATTGCCCTAACTTGAAAGTGTGATATACAGTTATATATGTATGGCTTTATTAGATCCTAAGACACTCTTAATGTCTCAATTTATAAACGTTTTTTGTCAAGGTTTGTTCAAGGTCTCAGATGCAGAGAACAGAGGGTTTAACGGTTAAAATTGATCAGGTTATTGATAGAGGAGCCAGTCACATCTGGGCCCAAATCCCAGGGTGAAGGGCCAAGTCATTGCACACTCACACACACACACACACACACACACACACACACACACACACACACACACACACACACACACACACACACACACACACACACACACACACACACACACACACACACACACACACACACACACACACACACACACACTCCTCCTGGCTGTCATATCTATTGTTCAGCAGAGCTTTGACCCCAGAGCTCCTTTGCATCAGAGTATAAATAGACAGTGTGTAGTAAGTCAGTCGACCCGGCTGGAAGCGGCCTGTGGTTCAGCCCCTGCTCTCTTTCTGGCTCTCTGCCCGGCTCAGCTGTATAACGGAAATAAATAAACGATAAAACGGAATATACAATAAATATTTTTCCTGGTAAAAAAAAAAAGGCAGTGAGCTGCAGGGAAAAGCGAGAGAAAGAGACAGAGTTTAGGAGTAAAGGCAGCAGCAACAAGTTTAAGTCTTTTTTTATGGGATGAAATGCTGCAAGAGGAGCCACAGAATTCATCTTCTCTTCAGTGGTGGGCTTTATAAACATGAGTGCCCCTGGTTTTGACAAAGCCTTTCCCTGCATGGTGGCTCGCGGGCTTTCACTGAGGTGGGAGGCTGAACAATGTGCTGCTGCCTGGTCGATATGGCCCCTGCTGCCTACCGGCTCCTCCTGGGACCTGGACGCTCCCTGCTGCCACCACCACCCCCTCTCCACCCACATTACCCCCACACACAGAGCTTCCACCTCCTCCACCAAACCCGGAGACAAGATGCTCTCTAGCGGCTGAGTCGACTTCTAAAAATCACCATCGGTAAATCATTTGCCCCATTTGCACACGGTGAAATATTTAAACAGGCAGCCCTCTCACTCCGCAGCAAATCACAGCAAATGAGTGCTTAACCCAGAGAGCAAGCTGCGGTTTCCGATTGAAATTGACCTTTGCGCGCAGGAAACACAAGTTCCAGTGAAGTCTGGGACGCCGTTAAACCGACTGGAAAACCATTTGCGCATCTTAAACGTGAGGTGCAACTCACTTTCTAGCTGATTTTTTTTAAATAGCCTACATGTGAAGTAGGAGATACGAAAATAATACAATTCAGTTGTAATACCACACAAATGTGAGTTTCTAGTTGTATACAGTGTGCCATTTTTACGCTGCTGTTCTAATATTATAGAGGATGAAAAGCCACGCTACTCTACCAAATAATATTAATATAGGAACTTCCTGTGCTATCAAAAGGCAAGTTTAAAGTGGCCCACGTGTGCTTTATGATTAAAATGCAATCTCCGGTGATATCATTAGAATATTCCAAGTAGTTTTTCACTCATGTTTCATCATTTTTACCGGTAAAGCCAACTAAATGTGCATTTCATGGTTGACAATAAAGCAAGACAGAGGAAAGGGGAGCTCTTACCTGCGAGTCCGACATTCCCCATCACCCTGCAAGTATTTATGAGGAGGATAAACAAACAAACGTCCCGGGAAAAACAAGCGCTCCCCATGCTGACAGACGGTGTGAGGATTCAGCAGGGCTTTTCTGGGGGTTTGGACTGTGTGTGTGTGTGTGTGTGTGTGTGTGTGTGAGTGTGTGAGTGTGTGTGTGTGTCTCTGATACGAGAGGAGGAGGACCGCTTCTGCTGGACGGGCAGCGGCGGGCAGAGAGAGGGGGGAGAGAGAGAGGGAACAGCAGGAGAGAGCGGAGGCGATCGGAGCCTCCTGATTGGCTGGTTTGTACCGGTGGGGAGAGAGAGAGAGAGAGAGAGAGAGAGAGAGAGAGAGAGAGAGAGAGAGAGAGAGAGAGAGAGAGAGAGAGGGGGGGGGGGAGAGAGAGAGAGAGGGGGGGGGGGAGAGAGAGAGAGGTGAGCAGCGCAGCGTCATGATGTGGATACTCAAAGTTCGTTCTCCTAACCCTTAAACCCAAGCTAAAAACATAAGTTAATACAAAAAAACAGTTTGAATTAACCCCAGTCGACATTTATGAGGGGTTAAATGTATAAGAAGTGAATTTTAGTGGCCTAGATTTTTGGCTGACTTTTGGATAACTCTATATTTTTTGTTATAAACTGCAAAATCCTTAAATATAGAGAGAAAATGAACTAGCCTACAGTCAAAATGTTCATAACTGATGTAGAGCACCTGTCTGTATAAGCCAAAAAAAGTTGGAAACCAAAATAGGAATTGTGTTCATTTTACTTCATATATTAATTATCCTGCAAGGAACCTTTTACATAATGTAGCTGTTTTACAATATTAAAAAACAATTCCAAAATGATAATTCCCTGTGCGAACTAAGGACCCCTGAAGGTCCAAAAAGCCGTAGTTTTGGAAACACGTAGTCATTAGACTAAAAGGGCAATTTGAGAAGTACAGACTCAGGGAATAACAGGGTTTATACAGATTCATATTCAGTCGTTTTTTCTCGTGAAATACTTATTGACGCACTTTTCTGAAACGTTACTCGAATGAGGTTTTAAGAATTAAGTAATACTGACACCTAGTGATGGGACATGAACGTGCAGGAGTGCATTACTCCCATTCAGCGCCGTATAGACCTTTATAGGGCTTTGCCCCCATTGTAAGAGTAGGCTACTGCGCACCACCTTATATAATGAAATGAATGAATTAGACAGACAAACATCGGACAGGGCAGTTTTACATGAACACTAGTTGGTGTATAGGTCTTTGCAGAAAATAGTTAGGGGTAATGTGTGTGGGGGCACAATGGGGGCCATAGGTCACCAGGTTAATCCATAGGTCAGGGGTCACCAAACATTCGTTTATTTTAAGGATTAAAAACAGTCAAAAATAAATATGGGGATTCTCATTGTTTTAAGTCTTTTTAAATGAGGTTATAGTTAAAGGACAACAATATTCCACGTTGTTGTCATCCTGAGCTAAGAAAGAAGTTCATGGTTTAGGTAGCTTAGTTGTGTATAGTGAGTTTTATTGAGGCCATTATATGCAAACGAAAAATGAATAGAGTTATCAAAAAACTTAAAAGTAAATTAAAAGACTTGAGGTCGTTAAATTATTTCAGTAGTTTTCTTTCATATTGAATGTATAGATAGCCTCTAGCTATGTCTAGTAACACTTGTATTGACCCCATTTTTTTTAATTTACACAAACCACAACAAAAACCACACTTAAAGACAAGGCCGAAACTGTCTGGGAACTCACCAAAATTGTTCTCTTTCCAAATGCAGGTGCAATTAACGAGTGCTTTATTCAGACGCTGCCAGCTTCTGTTCATTTTGAAGTGAAGACGGCGAGAAAGTAGACAAATACCGCCATCTTCTGGACAAGCTCCTTCAAAACATTTCTCATTTCTAACCAATCACAGAGAGAAGACAGAATGATGCATTTAAGAGCAATGCATTTGCTAGCTTCTATAATTGTATCTCAGTTGGAAGCTTTTTATTCCAAATCCACTCATTGCTTCCTTTTATCTAACTCGTTATAAAGCCACGTATCCAGCAGCACTGTTGCCTGTCACCCTGCTATATATGCATGACCTTGTATACGGGAAACATAAAAATACATTTATAAAACCACGTGACGAGGTTAGAATGAAAGACAGCTCTTAAGGTTCACGTAGAAAACGAGGAGTGCATGAACGCAACGCGAGATCTCATCAACTGTCATGGCGTCTCCCTTGAAGGGGGATAGGTAGTGGAGAAATTAGCCGCTGTCATTTTTCAGTTTTCTCCTGTTTACAGAGCAGGTAACCCCGACTGAAGAGGCCTTTAGGAGCGGATATTAACCATGGGGACTGTCCATGCTAAGGTAAACTCCATTATCCCTGGCAGCTGGCCTTTATGTGCCTTTGTTACCTACCTTTTTTACATGACCTCCCTGCCAAGTCAGACTCACTAGCATTTGTACTCGATGTACTGTTCAATACAGCTGGATAAAGACGAACAATAAAGAATACTGACTGGTTACATTACGTGTGTACTGAGGAACTGCATGTGGTGAAAAGCTGTATCTTTGACTGAAGCTCATTAATGTTACCAATATAGGCCTGGTGGGATTTTCAAATTTAGATATCATATGTATGACAAACTAACTCGTTGTAACCACGATTTGTGGTAGTATTTTAACGTGGTTTTGTGTTTTCAGACAGTTTTCATACAAGAATATCACTAAAAGCCATTTCATACTGTGTAATTAACACCACAAATAGATTCAATTTACTGTCACAGTCTTTCATTTGAGAAATGTGCTTCTTTAACCTACTTACCTTACCACCTTCCAAACTGACTCCCCATGCAGTGACTTTCACTTGTCGTAGGACATCAGATACTCTCTTTTTAAGGCCCACTCATTGACCTAATGACTCAATGACAGCAGTCCTTTTTAGAGGTGCCATGCATACCTTCCTTGTTTTAAGTGTATCAGATACACAAACCAAATTTAAACTCGGAAATATAGTTATAGTTTGGCTCAACTTCTGTAGTCAAAGAAGGTTTATTAGGGAGATTTTTATAAATTGTTTGAACTTTGCATTACATTGTTAATGTAGTGTTACTTAAAGGCATTGTGCTTATCATGGTGGCAGAGTCTGGATCCTCTCCCGATGCATGGCCGAGATTTGGGCGTCCACCCTGATGACTTGGTCGAGCTTCCAGAACCGGAGCAGGAATCCAAGCAGGAGATCCTCGAAAACAAAGCTGTAAGTAGCAGTAATATCAGACTAGATTTTGTGATAAAAACAAATCTAAGTATTTATAAATAGTATCTGTAAAAGAACTCAAGTGAAAAAAATATGGATTTGAATTGCTATCACAGTCTAAGTACCTGCAGCTACATGCATGTGTCTGCATTTGTATACGATGGTTTTGTTGGAGTAATCCAGGTAAAACATATTTTTGCAGGTGGTCGTCCAACATGTTAACGTCCAGGGTCTTGGAAGAACTAAAGAGGATCTGCTCGGCTATGAGATCTCTGAGGTTTTCCACGCAAAAAACCTCATTGATGTACGTATTTATTACTGAGTATATTAAGGAATGATAGCACTCAGTTTCAGTATTGGAGAAGTTGCAGAGCTCTGTTTCTTTTTCGGTTACAGGTGATGAAAAAATCTCACATCGCCAGACAGAAGCTTCTCCGCCTGGGAATCTTCAAAGAGGTGGAGGTTCTTATCGATACATCTGAAGGTAACTCATTCCGACCTTGTAATAAAAAATACCGCCCCAAAAACAAACAGTTTATTGAATAATGGCTCTTCCCCAGGTTCAGACGCCTTGCCCAACGGTCTGGATGTAACTTTTGAAGTGACGGAGGTAAAGAGGCTGACAGGAAGCTACAACACCATGGTTGGCAACAATGAAGGAAGCATGGTGAGAGAAACAACACTTGCATATAATTCATGTCAGTCATATTTGTCACTTTATTGGCTATGGATGGAGCACTATTCAATAAGATAGTTCATTCAAATTCTCGCTCAATTGGCTGCCAGGTTATACAATTGTCAACTTAGGTTATAAGGCCAGTGGGCATTTGAATCACTTAAATCAGAATTTATTGCAGTCCGTCTGTTAGATTATTTTAACTATGGCACAAAAAGCCAGAACCTTTTTTAATTTCCTTTCCTTACTACACTTTTATATTCAGAATAAGAAACAGGTTTATGTTATATTGGTTATGTTATAGGTGTCAGGTAAAGCTTATTCCATTAGATTAGAGATGTAATGATTATTCGATGAGGGTAGATTATTAAGGAAACCGTTTTAGTTCTAGTAATAACAGGAAATGTGTTTTTTAATGTTTATAGAAAATAGCCTTTCGTCATGCCACAGCAGAAAAGAGCTTATTGTAACAAGTTAATAACATTGGATGAAACTGGACACAGGCTGCTTTTACAGTGAAACAGAAATGATCACAGAACATGGTGGCTTCATAGTATTGGTTTGGTCTTTCAGGTGCTGGGTCTGAAGTTACCTAACGTGTTCGGTCGAGCTGAGAAACTCACCTTCCAGTTCTCCTACGGGACCAAGGAGACGTCATACGGCCTGTCCTTCTTCAAGCCCCAGCCCGGAAACTTCGAACGCAAGTATGTCAGTGAATGTTGCAAATAGACTGTTGACTGCGTGTCCAAGAAAGTCTGACTTCATAAAGTATAAGCACTTTTTACAGATGGCTGATTCCTAAATCTTGGATTGCCAGTAAATGCACCACCAGAACTCTGAGTTGTGTTTTAAGACACTGTGTCCTCTGTTTCAGCCTCATCCTCAACCTGTACAAAGTCACCGGTCAGTTCCCATGGAGCTCCTTAAAAGAAACTGACAGAGGCGCATCTGCAGAGTTTAATGTAAGAGGCCGTGTTTGTTTCTGAATGGAAAAACAGACCATTCAAATGATTAACCAATATCAATACAGATACATTTCCTCCTTATGTTTATGTACAAAAATAAATTCATTCGAGATTCATTTCACCCATGTTTTAAACTGCTTAGTTTGTACCATAATAACCTTTATTTTTATTTGTGGACTTTTTTATTTTTAAATGCATTGGCATAGGTATAGAATCTAGGGAGAAAGAGTCGAACATGTGACTGTGGACATGCATGCTCTGCATTTGTGCACAGCAGTGTGTAAATCCAATCTGAACGCTTGAATTTGCCAGCATTTAATACTG